TTAATTGCAATCTTATCTTCTATATCTGAAATTCTGTCCTCACATTGGTTCATTCTTCTGTGTAGACTTTCTTTTTTTGGTACTGGGGATTGAAGTCAGTCTTTGCGCTTGAGTAGCAGGTGGCAAAACCACTGAGCTAAATCCCCGGCCCAGTGTAGACTTTCAATGGAGGTTTTTTATCTCCTGGAAATCTATTTGCATCTCTTTTATGGATTCCACTTTTTTCCTATGTTGGGATTCCATCATGTTCCTCAGCTCCTCTCTAGATTTATTAATCATGTCTTGCAGTAGGAGAACAATTTCTCCTGTTATCTGAGAAATTATTTTTGATGTCGTTTTTTCCAGATCCCCTTTTGTTATCAGTTCATTGGTTCCAGGTGGTTGAGTATCAGAGTGCTCCATCTCATTTCCCTTTGGGGTTGCTGTAGGTGATCTGGAATTCTGGTTTTGAGACTTATTTCTGTTTTTTCTCATTTCCACTGGGGAGGCAGGGGGGGTGCTGTTGGCTCCTGCAAGGATCACCTCCTCTGAGCTGGAAGAGGTGGGACAGGGGTGGGAGCGGCTGTAGGGATGATGGCCCAGAAGCCCCTTCTTCTGGGCCTGGAGCAGTGGGACAAAAGGCAGCCCAAAATCCCTTTCCTCTGGGCTGGTGGTAGCAGGAGGGATGGTGGCCAGGAAGCCCCTTCCTCTGGGCCAGGAGCAGTAGGACAGCGGCTCAGAATCCCCTACCTCTGAGTTGGGAGTGGCGGGAGGGATGGTGGCCCCGAAGCCCCTTCCTCTGGGCTGGGAGCAGTGGGAGGGATGGTGGCCAGGAAGCCCTTTCCTTTGGACCAGGAGCAGTGGGATGGCGGCTCAGAAGGCCCTACCTTTGGGCCAGGAGCAGCGGGACCCAGTACCGTGGTCTGGTGGTCTGGTGTCCTCTGCGTCTTTGTAGGTGGACCCAGGTGGCTGTCTGTGGCAGGCTGAATGGGCGTGTTCCTGGTGACTTGTGACCTTGGTAGGGTGTCAGCAGATCTCTTTTGTGTATGTTTTTTTTTCTTACCTAATTGCTTTGTCTGTACTCTCACAACAGTGTTGAATAAAAGTGGCAAGAGTGGACATCCTTGTGTTATTCCTGACCTTTCAGTTGAAATGTTTTCAATTGAAAAGCTTTTAATCTTGGGAATGTTCTGTTTTCATTTTCAGTCCTATCAAAACAAAGTATTTTAAAATTTTCTTTGTATTTTCTCTTTTAATCCATTATTATTAGATAATATATTAGTTAATACCCACATACTTGTTATCCTTCTATTACTGCTTTTTATTTGCATTACATTGTGGTTGGAGAATAGATCTTGTATGATTTCACTCCTTTAATATTCATTGAGAGTTGTTTTGTCACCCAATACATGGTCTCTTCTGGAGGATGTTTCATGAATATTTAAGATGGATGTGTATTTCACTGTTATGGGGGGCAATGTTTCAGAAATATCAGGTCAATCTAGTTACTTATTTTATTCCTTTTGGGAGAAAATATGTTTATATAGTAAGTATTATGACTCAGTGGTAATAAATATTTGAAAAGTAAAAGACAGAGGGAGAATAATTGCATAAACTCTCCAATGAAGTGAAAAAGCATGTAGAATATCATATAGATAAATCATTTACTTTGTGAAAGGGGTGTACTTTTTCCTTTGATAATGAAGGGAAGTAAATAAGAATGGATTAAGAGGAAAATGAATGCATTAAAATATATCTAAGATCATTGGTAAGAATAAAGAGATTGGTGTATACATAGTTAATACTTTGAAGATATTGAAAATAATATATATGATAAAATATAAAATAGAAACAATTCTGCAATTTCTATCTTTGAAAATATTCACTATAGGAAGTTGTAAGTATCACAGCATTTTTCAATTTTAAAATTCTAACATAGATGGCTTATATCTCAGATATCTTTACATGTTGTGACTACAAATAATTTTATTTTGTTTATCAAATACTAGTCAGCTCAAGATCTCACAAGTATATTTGTTCTTTCAGTCATCTTGCCCTTAATAATTCCTGGGAAACTTAAGTAAAGCTTGCATTTTCCTACAAATCCTTTGTGGCACTCACTAGTGGCAGTATTCAGCATGTGCATAGATCACCTCTTGTTATTGACTTCTTCAAGTTTATAACATTGTTCCAACTATAAACATGAGCTCCTGCTTTATTTTCCTCAAAGACAAGAATTTGATTTTTACCAAAACATTAAAGAGGATTTGCTATGAAAGAATATATATTCAAATTAATTTAAAATTATTATCAGAAATGGTTATCTTTCGAAACCAACTATAATCTAATCCAGACTTAATCCAGAATTTCTGCAAAACTTCTTAAACTTCTTTATGTATAATGTGAGTGGAACTCTTCAGTCTCCATCAGAGTCTCCAGATAGCTCCCTTCCTTGAAATCCAGGCCCCGGAAAACAAAGGAAGGGTTTTGGTGAGCTTTCCCAGTGCTGGCACAAAATAAGAAATATCTGCAATTTAAAGTGTGTTTGTGTGTGTGGGGGCGGGGAGAGGGATTTGAGTCCACGGTTCAAAGGTTTTAGCTCATGGTTTGCTGGCTCCAAGACAGAAATACCATGGCTGAAGGTAGGATGGAGGAAAGCTGCTTAATTCTTGGTGGCCAGGGAACAAAGTAAGTTGGGAAGACCACAACAGGAAGCATTTTCTCTTTCTGCCCAGGGCCCATTTCATATTTCCTGAGGTAATTTTCAGAGAAAACATCTGTACTTGTCCGTTTGTCTTCTTACCTCTGTGTATATACTATTCCTTTGCCCTGTATTTTAGATGATGTTTAATCAAGTTACATACTTTGAACGATCCATTCTAAACTTATTCCAACCTAGAACATTGTATTTCTTCTTTTCTGTAAAATTTTAAATCGTGATTTGTGTGATGTGTAATTTGAACAGTTATAGATAGACACGTGAGAAAAGGAAAAAGAGGTATCACCAGAAAGATAGGCTGAATGTGAGAATGAGATGCTAAAGCTTCTAACTTTATCCTGAAGTCAATGAAGTATTAGAGTGACAAAAGTTGAGGTTATTAAATCAACTTTGATTACAGTGTTACAAAAGAAAAACAGAGATACATGTGTTGTTTTTAGAACTTTATATTTTTTTTCTTGCCTTATGACTCAGGGACCAACAACTCCAACAACAAAAATTTCCTGTGTTAAATGAGAGAAATTATTAATTTCAGTCTTATCTTCTGGGATATACATTACTGAGGTGAATATTGGAGGAATGAAGATGGAGAACATATAAAATTCCATAACCAATCTGGAAAGACAGCTTAAATGTATTATTGGGTAATTTCTCATGATGTCGAAGATAATGTCTTCCATGAATGCATTATCTATGTGGTCATAAATACCTGATGAGGCTTAGCTGGGTATGGATGACTAGGATATATCCTGGGAAGCAGATGTGAGAAGTTTATTAATTTAGTGAACAAGGAATAATTTCTTTTATTGTTGTTGTTGATACTGGATTTCAAATTTCTTAATCTTTTGTTCTAAATTCTTTTCAATAGTAGAAATATTCAGAAACAACCAAGATCCTGAGTCATTCTGAAATATGCTACAGTTAATTTCATTTTTTCAAATTGGTTTTGGGGACATCCTTAAGATTGAACATCATGAAACATGCAAAGATTCATGAAAAATGTTGGTGGAACTTCCAGCTGAGGAGTAGCTTCCATAGTATTCCTCAGGTGATGGATTAGGAAATGAGATAAAAAGAGATGACATAAAAAAGGTATATGTATTTTGACTTTATTTTTGAACAATAGCCATTACAAGGGAATGCTCTTTGATTGTCTATTTTAAAAATCTTCAATTACAAAATAACCCATTAACAAGAGATGTGAGCACATAAGGGGAAAGCAAATGCAAAATCTTTCTTGAAAAATAAATAGAAAATAATAGAGAAATATGTGATTTTTTTTTTACAGTTTAAAACCTCCTCCCTTGGATTTTGGATTCTCCAATAAGCTCTTATATCCTCCCTAAAGTGGTTTTCCCTCATAATAGACTAGTGTAATATTTTAAGCATTTGAGATTCTTAAAATTAGTATTTCATAGAAACTTAGAGATGAAATGGACCTTATAGATAATATTGTCTGAAGTGCAAAGTCATCATTTATATTCTTTTTCTTGGCAATAATCCAATTGATTTAAGATGTTCTAATTTTCATCTCCTTGATAGCTTTGTTATCGGATTTAGAAGATAATTCAAGTCAAAATACCCAGTAATTCAGTCCTTTACTATGTGCTACCACATGGATTTTTTAAAAGCATAATTTTATTCAAATCTAATTTATGTGAATGTTGGTAAATTCATGAGGTATACTCTATTAAGCTTCATTTTATAGCAAGTAAAATTATTTTTGCATAAGAAGAAGCTCTTCATTTTTGTTTCAGAAGAAAAGCAATAACTTTCCTCACCACACTCTACACTTTCTTCATACCAATTAATAGCCAAGCATCAATTCACCCAACCTTACCCTGGGCTTTCTAGGCATCTTAAGATTTCTCAACCTACAGGGCAAAGTCTCTGTCCAGCTAGATTCTTTGCTCAGTCTTCAAATTCTATGTAAGATAATGTGGAACTTCTCTTTAATATTCTGTATTAATGACTTAGTAATTGTTAAATGTCTTTTCCAATAAAATTTGAAGCCAATTATTTAGGGACTCTTACTTAATTTTTGTGGCACTATTACAGGCTGTTACAAATCCGAAACTAACTGACCGTTCTACTAGTTTTGAATGAAGCAAGGAAGAAGAGTTAATACTGGAATCATTTTTCTTTTAATGATATATTTCAATGGAAAAGGAAATCACCATCTTTACTAACCTTGCCTTTGATACCCACAACAGACACATGTTGATCATACTACCCTTAGAGTAATTCTAAGGTTAAAGGAATCACCCTTATTATCTTTATTTCCCAGAGCAAAATTTAATTTGGTGCTTGAAAATATTCTTAGTATTTCAGATGTCCTAGGATCTTTGAATTATTTTTAAAAAATGATATGAGAGATCATAGCCACCTCCTCTATCTTTACCACCTTCATAAATTCTACAAAGAGTCACTAAAAACATTTAATTGAAATATAACAATTTAGGCACAATTTTATACTGTTTCACAAATAGGGAAGTCTAAATGATATACTCAGTCTCACAAAGCACAATACTTCAAGTTGAAACGTGTCTGTTGAACTTTGCTAATCGTGTTTTTGTTGTGCGTTACTTACTGGATTTTTTTCACAGCACATGTCTATTTTTCCCTCAGAGATTGTAAACTCCTCAAGGTCAGGATCTCACTGCCTAGCCCAAATTTGGCATGGGTGTGAAATGAAGTGATCTGACCACATGGCTCTTGTAGCATGAGGCATTAATACACTCCCTTCATATTTTAACACATAAGCAGTAGTTGAGGGCTTGGAGATCTCAATGCATACTTATTTGTAAGTCTCATATACATTATCAAATATGAATTCTTGAGTCTTCTAGCTGTGCATATTCAAGGATGCTATAAAACTTGCCTGAACATTATTGATACTGGAGGTCTCATCTTATTCACCTCTCTGCTCTGAACACATTTGACCTCTTCAGAATTCTAGTTGAGCCTGTTTTTAAACTGGGTGTGGGAGGTGTGACTGAAAACTTTTATATGTTAAAGCAAGAGACTGAGGAATTAAATCCAGGCTTTTCATTAAGTCTAACTTATTTATTCCTAAAAAGAGGCTTATGTTGTCATAGAAGGTAATCATTGCACTGTCTTAGTTCTATTGTACATGGACAATATTTGCTTAAAGGCATTGTTTAGAAGTGACATCTGGTTATATGCAACTTACTTTGCCGTATAGCAGCCAATTTGATTTATCTTTTAAAGGCACATTACTTTTCCATTGGAAAGTGACAACTTAAGTGTTCAGCAAGAATCCTTGTAGAAAGCAGTATAATAGCAAGTTTTAGTGAGGCAGGAAAGAATAACCTAGCAGGGCTTCTATCCTTTCAAAGGCTTGTTTACAAGATTGGCTCTTGGCTGGCTTGGACTTCAGGAGAGTTTCAGTACCTGAACTGTTATAAGCAGCTTATTGTACCTAAGTGATTTGTAAAAATAATGTAGTTCATGTTCCATACCTGCTTTTCTTCTTGAACTTTTGGAACATGCTAGGCAGAAGGTGTCTATCGGATTGAGTCCCCCCCCCCCCCCTTAGAAATCTTGGGCACTGGGTCTCTAATTAGCCTCCTTGGTAGCCAACACTTTACATGTGTTGTCACACCTAATTGGTGGAGGAATTAAGTGTATCCTATGTCATTCTTCCGGACGAAGATTCTTAGAAGCTTGTGTCTGGTTTCCTCCAGACTTTAACCAAAGTACTTCTTCCCTTGCTGATTTAGCTCAGTGAAATAAATCCTAGCTTCAGGTCAGACTATGTGTTGAATCAAATGAGTTCTCTTAGTGAGACAAAATAGGAGATGATCTTGTCAATCCTTGATAGAATAACCAAATAATTACACTTGCTAATCTGTTGGTAGCATTTGCTCTGTTCTAGCGCTCTTCAAAGAATGATATATACATGATTGTATTAATTCTCATTTCAATCTTATGATCTGGATACTATTAACACCTTTGCTTTAATTTTGGAGAAACCCAGGGACAGAGAAATATTTTGTCCATCTTTGGTAAATTACAGAACTAAGATAATGAGAATGTGGCAGCTATATGAAAATCTAGGGAAAGAGAATTCAAATTGGTGACCCACAGACTTTAATTTTTGTCTTATTTAGTTCAGTGTCTGGCTAACAGGAGGCAAACTAAATATAAATTTTATTTTCATTTCTAAATTGAAGTGAAAAAGTGTGACTAGATTGCTCTATGCCATTACTAGTATGAAATCTCCAGGTTTCTGTTCTCAACAGTGTTTTTTTCCCACATCTTATGGTATTTGATTGATGAATTATTTTTTACCATACAACCCATATAACTGTTTTATTGTGAGTGTGCAGAAAAGCTTAAAACTTATAGTTTACTTCATTGGCTGTCATGTCAGGAAAATAGTAAGAAAAATGAAAATGTAAAGAGACGTTTTCCATTTAGTTTATTGGTATATATTAGGTATACAATAGAGGTACATTCATCATTGGGATCTTATACCTTTACATGATGCATCTTGGTTCGTATTTGTTTCCCATTCCTCTGCCTTCCCTTCACTCCCTCCACCCTTCCCTATTTACAAAGACTTTGTTTCCATTTTTTTTCCTTTTCTCATATTTTTTTCTTTTCCCTTCTTTCCTTTTCCCTACCCCTCCCACTTTCCCTACTCCTTTAGACATTTTCTTTTTCACAATATCAATTATACATTCTTATTTACACTTTTAGTTTTTCACACCAGAGAAACTATTTGGTATTTACACACGTATGTCTTATTTATTTCACTTAAGAGTATAGCCTCAATGTGCATCCACTTAGCTACAAATGTCTCCAGTTTCTCATTCTTTATGGCTGAGTAGTACTCGATTTTATAAAAAAACAACATCTTCTTTATCCAGTCTCCAGTTGATGGGCAATTGGGCTGTTTCCAAGTTTTAGCTATTACAAACTGTGCCACTACAAGCATGGGTGTGCATATATCACTGTGGTATGATTCTTTTAATTCTCTCTTTTTTGGCTTAAATTCTTTTATTGGTACATT